TCTCTCTCTCCGATACCGACCACGATCTCCGGTCATCTCTCTCTCTCTCTCTATCTATGACGATGTAAGTTCCGGCTCTATCTCTCTGTTTTTTTTTTTAGCTTTTGTGAATGAAATGTAATTTCGACTTTAGATTTGTATATGACATTAGCTTCATGGAATCTCGAGTTTAGATCAGATTGTATTAGGTTTATGATAGGTAAATCTGTGGATTTAGGCTTATGATAGTTTGATAATCTCTGCTTTATGTTTCTTATTTAGGTTATTAAATAACTTTTTCTGTTTAGATCACATGTAATTTTGAGTTTGAATTTGTTATTGAATACTTTTCTATGTTTTTTTATTTCAGGTCTTATGCCGCTTTTCGTGCTGCTTCTGCCCCATCAGCTACGTCTCCTGAAACTGGTTCTGCTTCAACGCAACAAACAAGTGTCCCCCCGCCACAACCATCAGCTTCAGCATATATCATCCAAGATAGGTTACTCAACGAGCTGTGTTGTTGGCACCAGGACGAGAGCGGATTCCGAAGCTGAGCCCAAATGATGAACCAAACACTTTTTGGTAAACTCTTTTGCTTTATATGATCAATTCTATATTACAATATTAATGATGATTTTTTTTTCAGGTTTAGGAAAAGGAACCGGAATGCTATTTGCAAGTCTATTTTGAAGTGCTTTCATACCCTCCTTGACGTGCCATATCCGACGTATGCCCATGTACCAATAGAAACAAAGAGGATGTGGCTTCGTTCATTTGCGGTGAGATGTCTTTTTCATTTATAATTCGACCTTGTTATTTATAATTGGATTTTATTATTTATAATTATGTTTGAACTGTTTGTTTATTGCAGCAAGCCTGGAATTAGGATCCCGCTCACACTGAAGAAGTGCGGACAGCCTTTAATGTGCAGGCTAACAAGCAGTACAAGAGCAACATGACTTTTTGGAAGAAAAAGTGGAAGCTAAAGAAGGATAAGACCACAGGTCTGGATGATTGCGGTGCAAAGACGAGAGAGGAACGCGAGATTGAAATGGTAAGCTTTACCAACATTTACGATTTCCTAACTTATGCTTTAACATTGAATTGACAATTTCTATGATGCTAGACTGCTGAAAATGGTGGTGTGCCACCATCATGGTTAGATTTGATGAAGGATATGCACACCAATAAACAGACAGGTGAGGTGCAAGATCCTGTTGCTAGAGATTTGTTGGACACTTTGAAGAAGAAGAAAGCAGAGAAAGAAGCACAACTTCAGCAGTCTCAGATGTGTGCAGTTGAAGGATCTACAGCTTCAAACGTGATGTCCCGCGAAGAGATTAACAAGATGGTTCTTGAAGTATTTCATTGCAACTAACATTCTTTGATAGTCCTCTTATTATCTTCTTTTTATTATTATTAAATTTGTCTTTTGTGTTTGTAGAATATCCCAGTTAAGAAAGGCCGTCGCTATGGTTTAGGCCGTGTTTCAGAGGGGATCTTCTATAGTATCCAAGCAACCTTTTCTTCCTCGGGAATTATGGATGTGATGGAACAGCTGAAGACAGATCTCGATGAAGAGCGGACAAAGCGACGGGCTTTGGATGCAGAACTTTGTGTCGTCAGTGATTTCATTTCTCGGGTTTATCCTGAAGATTTCTCAGCTTCACAGCCCTTCTCAGTTTCACAGCCCTTCTCAGTTTCACAGCCTCAGTAATGTATTTCAAAAATCTTATGTTTCTTATGTTTTTTTCGACACTCTTATGTATTATTAACTTGGTTATGTTTTCTTAAGACAGTGTAAACTCTGTTTTAATTATCTAAACTTTTATGTATTAAAATTTACGTACTTATCTAATTATTAATTTCATATAATATAGTACAAAAATAATTTTTATTTTTAAAAAAATATTATTAAATTTCTTACGGAAGAAATAGTCAGAAAATTCTGTCTGTCAGGCCGTCAGAAATTTCTGACCGCCACCGTCGTCAAAAAAATTTTAACAACGAAATCCGTCAAAAAAGTTTGACGCCTTCCCCGTCAGAAAAGTCTGACCGTTTTATCCGTCAGAAAATTCTGATAGTCCTGTCGGTTAGAAAAATTTGATGGTTCACCCGTCAGAAATTTCTGACAGCTTCTCGGTTGGAAATTTTAACCAATTTCTAACCGATTTAAAATTTCTGACGAAATAGAATTTACGGTCGTTTCCGTCGAAAATCGGTTAAAACAGACGATTTCTAACCATTTTCTAATGGATTTTCCCGTCAGAAACGACCCTTTTTCTTGTAGTGTGAGTGTAGTGGGATCAGGTATTGGTAATGTTTTTGCAGGAACAAGTGAATCTGAACTCTTTGTCTAATATACAGAGAGAGTGAATGATTGACACATATTGTCAAATGTGGTCGCCTATTATTCCTATGTGAGTTCTAATCTTACAAGGACTATTACAACTGTCTAATTAGGTTTCTTACTACTTTTAGGGGAGCACAAATAAAGTTTATAAAATAATAGTCCAAGTGTCTAACTATGTAAGGGAGGATATATTGAATGTATTAGTGTAAGGTGTTCAATCCTTGTCTACTGACTCGATCTAATTGAACCAATTCATACTCTGTTCCTTAGCTTTAGGGGGGGTTAGTGGGATATGGATTTAGATAGAATTGATTGATTTTAAGAATCAATAGATTTGATAAATTTATAAAGAGTTCAAATAAGTTTTCTATATTTAAGAAGTCTATGAAAGTATTATTCCTTTATGAGGATTTTGAGAATCTTGAGTAAAAGTGCAATATTTTGAAAGTTTTGTTTTATGACTTAGGGAGGTTATTGGAACATGAATTTTTGTGGAATTTGATGATTCTAGTAGTTGAGAGGATTTTACAAGTTCACTAGATTTAAAAAATTTAAATAATTTTTACATAGATTTTCATTACTTGTGTATAGAATTTAATTGATTGTTATTAACTTTTAAAGTAGAAAATTAATAGTGGTAGGAGTAGAGGAAAGAGAATAACTTCAATTAGGGTAATTCTCTCTCTTTTTTTTTTTTAAATGTCACAAAAAGTTCTTGAAATAAGAAAAATGGCAAAAATATGTTTTTTTTAATTTCGAAATATGTGTTTTCATATTCAATATTTTTATAAAAAATTCAAATTTTTCTTTTTAGTTTTTCTTTTCTTTTTAAACTCAAAAATACTTTTTGAAACTATTTTATAAATTTTATTTTAAACTTGAATTTTGTATTATTATTTTTAATATTAATTTTCTATGTATTGTTGTGATTTGTATTATGCTAAAATAGTGATATTTATTAGTTCATTCTTCAATTTTGTGTTTTGTATGGGGGTTTATTTTATTACACAGATTTCAAAATCTTATGAGTATAGGTGATATTCTCAAAGTTGAGTAAAGTTGAGTCTTATGAGTAAAAACAGAGAAAATTTACATCCCAATAACAATAGATTTTAGTGGAATCATAAAATCAATGACAACTAAACTTTTCCAATAACAAAGATTTTGAATAGAATTTAAAAGTTATCATCCCAATAACAATGGATTCTATTTAGACTTTAAAAATCCATAAACCAATAACAATGGAATCTCAAAATTTAATAACTCCTTTAGAATTCTTCTGCCAATAACCCACCCTTATAGATTTACCGCAAACAAATAAATGATTAACCGCTCAGTTAAGGATAGTCATATTAATTAAACATATATGTGAAGAAGAGATTCATTTGCTGATTTCGAATTCTAAAAACATCATACGACGACCCAACAATCTTCAACCATTCCAAAATCACAATCAAATAACCAAAAGTTCAAGCTAGTTATACATTAGAAGAACACAATCTTTCTTTTATTTATAGCTTCACTAGTATAAAAACCGCTTACTTTCTTATCTTTGCTCTTCCTTGATGAATGATCTTCTTTCCTACGCTTCCCATTTTCCTTTTTCTGTAAATCCATCAATCAGTGCACTCTTAGTACTAAGTAAAGCCAACGGTGAAGAAGAAGAATAATCAAGAACTAAGAAAAATGGCAAAAACTGAGATGCTTACAGTCATCCATCTACGACGAAGAGCAACATCTCTAGCAGTTTTATCCTTCATTTTCATCGCAATCTCAGCATAACGAACAATCGTAGGCTCTGACGTGTCCATGTACATATAAAACATCAAATCATTAACAAAATTCATACAAAAACTTACAACAACTCCAAGCCAACTAAGACCACTCATCCACCAATTAAAACACAAAACATATTAATTCAATCTGAAACATATTAAGAGTTTACCAAAGATTGGTACGTAAAAGTAAATACTGTAGACAATGCTTTGTTGTTCATATGACTTTGCAGATTAAGCTTAATGCGAAAGAAATATAGGAAAATACTCACATTTGTATGGAATATGCTTTAAAGTTTTCTATTCAAAATATAACTTTCCAAAGTTCTTACATATGAACGAGATCACAGAGTTACAAATTGTAACTTACAATGCTTAAAAATGAAATTTCTACAGAATAAGAGATTCTCCCTGTAATACACCACGTTTAAATTCAATCTCTTGTAGAAGCAACCTCACGTCTTTAGACTCCAACTCTTCTTTGACTCTAAAGAATCCACAGTGAACTTCCTTTAACAACCTCAAAACATTAACCAATCCACCGTTGCATTCACTTTCATCTATCCTCTCCTCAGAGTACGGCCTTGAACATTGGTCGTTACTCATCCTGAAATAGCAGTACCTACTAATCTCAACCAAGTTGCTCTTGTGATCAGGCCACACATCACGTGTATCATCCACGATCAGCACACAGCGCTCATCAGCAAAAACCAAATCAAGCGTCTTAATGTAAGGACTCTCCTCTCTCGTTATCACTCTTTTACCGAAATAGATGCGCCTCGGATCGATCAGCTCGAGGACGGAATCAGCGTAATAACGGTTACCCATTGTGTAGACATGCATGTTGAACATCTTGCGAGCTTCTTTCAAGAAATCGAGAACGAAAGGACGTAGCTTTATCAAGTGCTCGACGGGATCATCGTCGGATTTCAAGAGCCAGAGATCGTGCCTTGAACCCGCTTCTTGGATTAGATACTTTTCTGTTTTGGTGAGAGAAGAAAGGGTAGTGGTGTGGACAAGGGTATGGTCTAGGTCAAGGACTAATGGAAGTTTCTTGTCGCCCATATAAGAGAACTTAGTCATGAGGCGCTTCGCTGATGCGACGGCCTCGTGGCGTATCTGAACACCGTCTTTGAAACAGTTGAATGATCTGTAGTGGCATCTTTCAATCATTGAATTACAGGCGGTGCAGACACCGTGTTGAGCGTAGGAGTGAGGACATGGGATTGAAGATAATGATGAGTTGTTGAACACGGGTTCGATCCTCTGTCTTTTGGGGTTTGGTTCGAACACGGGTTCGATCCTCTGTCTTTTGGGGTTTGGTTCGAGGGAAGGAGTTTCGAATATAGACATGGGTTTTCTCTGGTTAGGTTTAGAATAACAAAGAATTGATCAGAAAGGAGAATCAACAGAGAATGCTTTAGAGATCGTGGAGTCGAGCAAGGAAAAAAAACCCTAACTTTTTTTTGTTTGTAAGAGAAGGCTGGAGAGGAGAGACAGTCGAAGAAACTGGTAACGGGATTAACACGGAACAGGTGTTCGAATATATAGAGGTCTAGACTCTCGCTTGTGAACAAAAAAAAAGAAAAAAGGAAATCGTAAATCTTCCTAATCGACCATTATGCCCTTTCCGCGTTTTCATCTCTAGAGGAGCGCGTTCAACAATCTATTACACTCTTTGACTTATACTTTGACTGATTTCAATTCCTATGGAGTTTGGGCTCTGGGCTTTTTACTATTAGGCCTGACAATTCGGATCTTCTGGTCGGATCCGGATCCTCCAGATTCTAGATATTTGGATTTAATAGATACTTGTAAATTTTTAATTCAGGTTCAATTTGGTTTTTCTCAATCCAAATCGATTCGAATCTATAACTAATATACCCGCAATTTTTTTATTTATATCGGATCCGAATCAAATTTGGATAATTATAATCAGAAAATGATATGACATGTCCAAACTCCATCAAATTTAGTCGATATTTGTCATATGTATCTAAAAGGTTTCAAAATAAATCAAATTAAACTATTGATAATTAAAATAAAACATTTTTAAACTCTAACATTTTAAAGTTTCATATATATATCACAAACAAATCATAGTTTTGGATAAACATGTTTTTAAGTCGGGTATAAATCGGTTCTTATTCGGTCGGATCTATTCGGATCGTTTTTTTTAGGTCCAGGTTATTCGGATCGCTTTATTTTGGTTCCGATTCTTTTGGATAAAAGAAATTTTGGACCAAAAAAATACTCATAAATTTTTGATTCCATTTCGAATCCGATATTTTCGGATCAGTTCCGGTTCGAGTTTTTGAGTCCATGTTAAAATGCCCATGCCTAATTTATACTCACTTCACCACAAACACAAATGGTGATTTTCTTAAACTTTTTCAAATGTATATATAATTTACACTAATCAGATAACTGATTTAACGATTGTTCATGTTTTATAATGATCTAACTCCAATAGTTTGGTCATATGTTTGGTTCAAATCAAATCACTCATAATTTTAAATTTTAATCCATATTTTAAAATGTTAATTGTTTTAGTAGATGTCGCATAAAATATGACCACAGATGATTTGCTTATTAGCCTTATTTAGTTAAAATATTTTTTTGCTCTTATTTAAAAAGAAACTAATTCATACTAAACTTTATTCTCTTTTGATATCTGTTATATTATTAAAAATATTTTTTAAAAGAGAACACTATGTTTTGTTTTAAAAATAAATACATAATTTGTGTGAAATTTCCTTTTTATTTATGTTATATTTATATTATATATATAATATTTATATTTTAATTTCTATAGATATTTTTATTTTCATATATATATGGTTCGGGATAAGGTATAAAAATTAAAAGATATTAAGAAAAGAAGGAATCAATCAAAAAATATTGATAATAACATTTTTCTATAATATTTTAGTTAACTAAACTTATTATTGTAATTAACCACTATAAAAATTAATGTATGAAAATAGAGTGATGATGTATTATTCTCTTTGAGATTATTTTTTTGTAGAAAAAATGAAAATATTATGTTTTTCTTTTTGTGAATTTTTATTTTTAACCACGTCACTCATATATAAAATAAAGCACTTTTTTAATATTCTAATTTTTTATTATATGTTATATGGCAACCAAAATAAAGAAGAGGAAGTTAAAATTAAAATTTAATTGACAATAAGTTAATTAAAATTTTTAATATATCGATTATGTTAATTGAAATTATATTTACAAAAAACAATTTATGAAAATTTCCTTTTATATAGAATTATTGTGTATAATATTACCACTTTTTGAATTGGATAAATAATTATTTATATATATATAATTTAAAAACTAATATAAAAAAGGAAGCTTTTAATTTATATATTAAATACACTTTTATAATTAGCCATAGTTATAATTTATTTCATAATGACACAGAACTGATTTCTCAGTTACTAGTGTAAATGAGCAAGAAAAAAAAAAAACTCTTTTTGACATCAAACCAGACAAATTTTTTTTCCCAGGACCAAATGACATAATTAGCAGACTCTTCCAAAGGTTTTGGCAGGTTATGGGTAGAGATACATCCGCTTGGTGAAAGACTTTTTTGTCACAGGAAGTTTTGTCTCATACCAAAGAAGGAAAGACCAAAGGAGATGACATAATTTAGACCTATCAGCCTCTGCAACCTCAGTTACAAAATTATTTCAAAACTCCCGAGCAAGAGAATCAAGATTTAATTCGATTTCTAGGATGATCTGATGAGCGGTGATTCTGGAAAGTGATTTATATAATTAGGGTTACAGATCAGAAAACGACAAAAAAATCTACTGGATTAGAAGAAGATGATGTGTGGTTTCTTTTTTTAGAGCTTGCTTGTAGGATCCAATTGTAAGAACGGATCTTAAAGTATGTATGAATTGGTAACATTTTTTAAATTAAACTATATACCATATAAAACGACATAAATAGGGCTGGAGAATTAAATTTAATTATATAGCATCTAAACTAAATAAAATGATTATTTTGATTTATTTACCCAAGTATTTATTGTAATTATACAATATGTATTGTTTTGATTTTTGTGCTTACTCCAATTTAATTATATGCATAGTAGTTACTTGCTTATCAATTATTCAATAAATTTATTTTAGAATAAGTAAATGAATATAAGTAAATAATAATATACAACAATAATCTGTATATATTTAATGTCTATTATATATAATAGATATAAAAGTATATATAAAGGATGATCATACAGTATTAGGTCTTTTCAATAATCTCATTACGATGTCAACTGTAGCTGCCTCCAACTCGAAAAAATCACAGCCATCATTAGGGAAGGCAATTGGGATCACCCGCCCCGCCGTGGCCCGCCCCGTTGCGGTCTCTCCCTCAGGCGGATCTGTGCGGGTTTTCCCGTAGTGGCCCGCAGTACTCAACTTCTAAGCCCAAACCCGCCCCGCATATTCTATAGCCTTTGTGAACTGGCCCGCGGGTCAAGAAAATGCAGAGCTTGCTCCCTGCATTCGCTTGTACTTTGTAGACTTGTAGGTTCTTGGTTGTTGCTTATAATGCAAGGTTCATTACCTGTAGAACAACATGAATGTGTGTGTTTATAGAATCCATTATCAACTTCAGTTTGTGTTTAGAAATGATATATACACAATCTACCGATATTACATGGTAATGAGGCAAGCCACCTGCGCAGAGACATGTAAGAGTATTACATGGTAATAATCATACCGGTATTTAAGTTAAATGCAATTGCTGAGTTTAATCACGCGAAGATAGTCAATGAGACACTTCGAAGGTGGTGTGTGAAATTCCTGAGGCATATGTAAACACTGGATCCAAGGAAATGACCAGTAATCTCTCAGTTTCGGAAAGTAATATAAGAGCGTATATAATGATGAACTAGAGGAATTTTCGACATACGTTATGGGGATCCAAGATCCTCTCTGTACATGCAAACAGATTGAAGACAGCTGGAAAAAAAAAAGAACCATCGGTGCTCTCATCTCCATTGTTGGAGTTCCAAAGTTTTTGTCGGTGAATATCACCATCACCAAAGTTCATCTAACTTGGGGGTGATATTCTTCTGGTGCTCGCCTGAGACTGAAAGGAAGACCGGAAAAATCGTCGAAGCAAAGTTCACCATCACCAAAGTTCATCTTGCTCCAAAGTTTTTGTCGGTGAACACTTTTGTTTTTTTTTTTAAATTTCAGGTAGATACACAAAAGAGGAATGTTGCAGGCTCTTTTTGTCCCGCAAGACTAAGTCAGGCCCAACCCGCAATAGCCCAAACCGCATAAGCCTTGGCCCGCGAGACCCGCTCCAAAATGGGCCTATAATACCTCTATCCAAACCCAAATAATATACATTTATATCATTTGGGTTAACTAATCGTAAATCTTTTTGTTTAAAGTTAAGGAGTGGGGTTTTGGGGATAGGATTACAATTTTTTTTTAAAAAAGAAATTGAAATTTTCAAAATAAAAAATGATGTTTTGGTCATTTTAGTTTTAAGATCTATTTTTGTGAAAAAACCTTAAAAAGTTCTATTTGAGAAAACTGTCCTATATTTTAAGGAAACTGTTTATTTTCTCTTAATTTTTACATATAATTAATGTAAAATTAATAATATGAAACTGTTTATTTTCTCTTAATTTTTACATATAATTAATGTAAAATTAATAATGTAATAAAATAATAAATTTAAAAATTATTTAAATTAAATTATAAATATATTTTTAAAATTTTTATTTCTGCACCACCTAGTATTTTATATAATATGATCATACTGTATTAGGTATTTTCCTTGACCTAGATACCACGATCACGATGTCAACTGAAGCCGCCTCCAACTCGAAGAAATCACGGCGATCATCATCATCACCGTTTTTGCTGTTGCCAGACGACGTTGTTTTAAAGTGCTTATCCCGCGTTCCGGGACGCTATGACCTAAAGCTCTCTTTGGTCTCCAAAGCCCTAAGGTCGCTCGTTTGCTCGCCAGAACTCCACCGTTTGCGATCCCAGCTTCTCCCGAAGAAGTCGGTCTTTCTCTCTTATCATATATATCAAGGCCCGATGGATCCGTCCCCTAGCTTCAGATGGATCACTTTCCGTCCGGGTGAGAAGACCACTGACTATCAGTTGGAGCAGAGATCTCTGTCATTGGCGGATGTCGTCCCGACACATCGTTTTGGTCATGCAGTCTCCGTGGGATCAGAGATCTATTTCATTGGTGGAAGAAGCGTTCACTCCCCGGAGCTTTGGATTCTTGATACTCGATCTGGTCATTTACGGACGGCTCCAAGCCTGAAAGTGGGTCGGTTGAAGTACAAAGAAGCAGTGGGTGTGGTCGCGGGGAAGATATACGTGATTGGAGGAAGTGAAGAACGCAGCCAAGTGGAAGTGTTTGATCCACAAGCGCAAACCTGGGACTTCGTTGGCGAGGAGAAAGTGACATGTGAATCCCGGTTTAGTGCGTCTATGAAGCAAAAGGTTTATATGGTGGACATAGATGGGAGAGTCAGCGCGTATGGCCCGAGAGAAGGTATAAACAGTGATGCAACGGAGGTGCCAAGTGATGATATGCTGAAGTTAGTGTGTGTGGTAAAGAATGTGCTCTACGGTTGTTTTGAGTGGAGTGGGTTAATGTGGTTTAACACAAAGCTCAAGGTTTGGATAAAAGTGGTTGACCGTGATGGCAAGGATGGGAAGTTAGAGCTGTATTCATTTGCTGCTGCAAAAATGGTGGAATACGAGGAAAATATTGTGTTTCTTTGGCCACTAGGTAATATTGATCCCATGAAGAAAGATGTTGTGTGTAAATTGATTGCATTGGATAGCCTAGGAGAAGAAATCCGTGGGAGGATTGAGTGGTCTGGTATTGTGGCCACTTTGCCGCATAACATTCTTTGGAAGGATTGTTTAGTTGTTTCTGGTTGATGGATTCATTATATGATTTAACCTGTCATATGTTGAACTTAATTTCTGATAGCCCAGACTGAGCAAATTATAATGTCTGTTTATGTTTACTAATTTTATTTTATTTGTCTACTGTACAAACATACATTGTGAACATCTTGTTGGCTTCTTCCAAGAAACCGCAAACAAAAGGCAGTGGTTTTGTTAAGAATACCATGGCATGGGATCATCACCGTCTGCATTCCACTTCCACTGATCATCCCTTGTAGCCGCTTCTTTGATTAGATACGTCTCTGCTTAGGTGAGACGTGGAAGACGAGTTGTGTGGAGAAGCGTGTGGTCCAAGTCAGTCATGGATTAAGTGGAGTTATTATTCCTATGTGAGTTCTTATCTTACAAGGACTATTCCAACTGTCTAATTAGATTTCTTACTACTTTTAGAGGAACACAAATAAAGTTTATAAAATAATAGTCCAAGTGTCTAACTATGTAAGGGAGGATATGTTGAATGTATTAGTGTAAGGTGTTCAATCCTTGTCTACTGACTCGATCTAATTGAACCAATTCATACTCTGTTCCTTAGCTTTATAGATTTACCACAAACAAATAAATGCTTAACCGCTCAGTTAAGGATAGTCATATTAAACATATATGTGAAGAAGAGATTCATTTGCTGATTTCGAATTCTAAAAACATCATACGACGACCCAACAATCTTCAACCATTCCAAAATCACAATCAAATAACCAAAAGTTCAAGCTAGTTATACATTAGAAGAACACAATCTTTCTTTTATTTATAGCTTCACTAGTATAAAAACCGCTTACTTTCTTATCTTTGCTCTTCCTTGATGAATGATCTTCTTTCCTACGCTTCCCATTTTCCTTTTTCTGTAAATCCATCAATCAGTGCACTCTTAGTACTAAGTAAAGCCAACGGTGAAGAAGAAGAATAATCAAGAACTAAGAAAAATGGCAAAAACTGAGATGCTTACAGTCATCCATCTACGACGAAGAGCAACATCTCTAGCAGTTTTATCCTTCATTTTCATCGCAATCTCAGCATAACGAACAATCGTAGGCTCTGACGTGTCCATGTACATATAAAACATCAAATCATTAACAAAATTCATACAAAAACTTACAACAACTCCAAGCCAACTAAGACCACTCATCCACCAATTAAAACACAAAACATATTAATTCAATCTGAAACATATTAAGAGTTTACCAAAGATTGGTACGTAAAAGTAAATACTGTAGACAATGCTTTGTTGTTCATATGACTTTGCAGATTAAGCTTAATGCGAAAGAAATATAGGAAAATACTCACATTTGTATGGAATATGCTTTAAAGTTTTCTATTCAAAATATAACTTTCCAAAGTTCTTACATATGAACGAGATCACAGAGTTACAAAGTTTATCTAAAACCTATTAGTCTCTCTTTTTGCTTGTATAAAGTAGAAGTAGATGCTGAATACAATGCTTGGTAGTTTATTTGACTTTGCAGATTTAAGATTACTGCGAAAGAAATATAGGAAATACCCACATTCATATGTAATATGCTTTAAAGTTTTCTATTCAAAATACCTTTACAAAGTTCTTACATAGGCACAGAGTTACAATGCTTAAAAATAAACTTTCTACAGAATAAGAGATTCTCCCTGTAATACACCACGACTGAATTCAATCTCTTGCAGCAGCAACCTCACGTCTTTAGACTCCAACTCTTCTTTGACTCTAAAGAATCCACAGTGAACTTCCTTTAACAACCTCAAAACATTAACCAATCCACCGTTGCATTCACTTTCATCTATCCTCTCCTCAGAGTAAGGCCTTGAACATTGGTCGTTACTCATCCTGAAATAGCAGTACCTGCTAATCTCAACCAAGTTGCTCTTGTGATCAGGCCAGACTTCACGTGTATCATCCACGATCACCACACAGCGCTCATCAGCAAAAACCAAATCAAGCGTCTTCATGTAAGGACTCTCCTCTCTCGTTATCACTCTTTTACCGAAATAGATGCGCCTCGGATCGATCAGCTCGAGGACGGATTCAGCGTAATAACGGTTACCCATTGTGTAGACATGCATGTTGAACATCTTGCGAGCTTCTTTCAAGAAATCGAGAACAAAAGGACGTAGCTTTATCAAGTGCTCGACGTCAGATTTCAAGAGCCAGAGATCGTGCCTTGAACCCGCTTCTTGGATTAGATACTTCTCTGTTTCGGTGAGAGAAGAAACAGTTGTGGTGTGGACAAGGGTATGGTCTAGGTCAAGGACTAATGGAAGTTTCTTGTCGCCCATATAAGAGAACTTAGTCATGAGGCGCTTCGCTGATGCGACGGCCTCGTGGCGTATCTGAACACCGTCTTTGAAACAGTTGAATGATCTGTAGTGGCATCTTTCAATCATTGAATTACAGGCGGTGCAGACACCGTGTTGAGCGTAGGAGTGAGGACATGGGATTGAAGATAATGATGAGTTGTTGAACACGGGTTCGATCCTCTGTCTTTTGGGGTTTGGTTCGAACACCGGTTCGATCCTCTGTCTTTTCGGGTTTGGTTCCAGCTGGGAAGGAGTTTCGAATATAGACATGGTTGAGAATTATCAGAGGATTGATCAGAGACGAGAATCAACAGAGAATCGTGGAATCGAGCTAGGACAACAAAAACCCTAATTTTTTTGGAGAGGAGAGTGTAGAATAATAATAACACGGAACAGATGTTCTAATTTATAGAGGGAAGAGAGAGACTCTCACTAGGAAAAAAGGAAAGTGGAAACTATCGGATTGACCATTATGCCCTTTTACTTATCTGCGTTTTCATTTTTATTCACGAGCGCGTCCCAAAATCAGCTAATTGTGAATATTGTATGATTTTTTTTCTTTTTAGTTTGACTAATTTCAGATCTCTATGGTTTTTGGGTTCTGGGTTTTTAATCACTTTACTACAAACACAAGTTGTGATTTTTGAATGTTACTACAAATACAAACCATTAATAATGTTGGACTTATATAAAGAAAAGAAGGAGAGTAGTTAAAGAAGCTTTTGTCAGTGGAAATCTTTATCAAGTGGTTTGATTAATAGTTTACTAATAATGCTTATACAGTTGAAGGTATGCGTTTCCTCTTTCATATGAAATACGAATTATATGGGTTATGGAAGAAAACACTTCAACATATGAAAGAGGAGATCACAAACTTCTAAAGTTTCTACATGATAAAGGATTCATTGTCTACACGTACGATTGAAGTCTATCTCTTGAAACAATACCCTTACGTCTTGTGATTCCAATTCCTTTTCTTCTGCAACCCTGAAGAATGCACTGTGAACTTCTTTGAGTAGCTTCAAAACATTGGCCAATCTACTGTCGTTTTCACTCTTGTCTGTCTTCTCCTCAGAGTATGGCTTTAAGTGTAGACCGTTGCTCACTCTTCTGAAATAGTTGTATTTGTTCAATCAAGTTACTATATTATATATTTAATGTGATTTTAAAATTTTAATAAAATAATATTTAAAAGGATAAATGATATATAAATTGCTATATAATTTTTATTATACAAAATCATTAATTGTCATATATTTTAATCTTATTGGGTAATTTTGTAGGTTTTTATTTCAATAAATAAGGATTTCTTTCTATAGAATACTAATTAATTTTATGATAATTTAATGAGAAACATAATACTCCATCCGTTTCAATTTATATGTCTTCTAAGGTAAAATTTGTTTTTCAAAATAAGTGTCAGTTTATAATCTTAATGCAAAATTTATTAATTTTATTTAATATTCTAATTTTCATTGGTTGAAATGTGGTTAGTTGTATAGGTAATAGTATTTTTATCTAGAGAATATTCAAAATAAAATGATTTTTTAATTTGTGTGCAAAAATTTCAAAACGACAACTAAATTGAAACGGAGGAAGTATAAGTTTTGATGAACCAACATATTTCTCTAAGGATTGTAAGAAATATTCTAATGATGACACATATCATAGTTCACAAGTTACGGTGTTTCTCAATTAACATATAAGAGATGATATTCAAAAACTTATAATATGACTCCATTTGTTTGATCATATGTTTGGTTCAAATCAAATCACTCATAATTTTAACTTGGGGAATTTTTCAAATATGACTCAAAACTTGATTTAAATACAAAAGTATATCCAAACTTCATCAAATGCAAAACTAACCTAAAAACCTTGTGAAATTACAGCCAACCTTTTATAACTAACAAAAAAAAACAGAATTCATTTTTACGAATATAACCCCGAAAAGTATTCTGAGTTTTTGTAAGTCTTCAGAGGTTTTATAAGTCTTCTGTAAGATTTTCGGGAAGTCTTCTCGTATAGTATATCTTAAAAGTAATTTATAAATTTTTTTCTTCTCCTCATGAGCAGGTTCGAATGCTGATTAGGTAGTTATAAGGGGTCTTATGCTTTATCATACTGGGCGGAACCTCATAGCAAAAGTAAGTCTAAACACAAGTTTATTTTAATTTTCAACTTGATATTAACACAAATTATGTGTGCTTCTTTTATGTTTTGTAAATATTAAATAAGTTTTATAAGTTTATTAGAATGTTTGGTGTTTCTGGGGGATAAACAATTTAAAATAAGCGAAACCATGTGTCTTGATTAAAATATAATTATAATATAAAGATATAACTCTCAAAATTTAAGAAATCATAGTAGTAAAGTAAAACAAACTGAATATTAAATATAAAAGAACAAAGTAAAAAAAAAAAAATTGGACATTAAAATCCCGTTATTCTATCGTCAAATTCTTCAAGTATCTTGCTTTAAAATCATTCTCGATAGAATGGAAGCCTGAAATATATACGGGATTAGTTAACATTAGCAATGATAATATAACACAGATTTTTACTAAGAATCACATCTTCCCTATTATATTAAACTTACATTGTTTTGAAATATTGTATTTCAGCGATATGAGAATCAAATAAAATATCCGAACATTCTTCAAAGTTGGTTAAATGGTTTAAGCAGCCTATAAAAATCAACAATTCAGGTCCAATAAAAATACCGTTCTTTTGATCCAATAATAGTCTAGATTTGTAAAACTTACCATCACCCCACTCAATTCGCCATAATCTCAAAACACCAACAACAACCTGTGCAGTTGATGACAGCCAGTTTTCATATAACTTATCCGCTACAGTTCCATAGGTAACACAATTGATTTCAGCAAAACTGTATACAATAAGATATGGTAAACGTTATCAAATAGGAACTCCTGTAAAGATAAAACTGTAAAAGAACATCACTTACTCAATATTCATGATGAAAAACTTAATTCTGCTTTTATGTCCATCATTCATATTAGGGTTGTATTGCACTTTAATATCATGGTCGATTGGGCCAACATGAACCAAAGCTCCACATAGGTCTTCCTCACAGTAGAAAACGTATTTGAACATTATTAGACAACAGCTTTAGGAAAATATTAGGAAACATGGAAGATACGAACCAAAAAAGAAAGGATTTTGAACTCTAATTTTAACTTACCAATGCAGAATTTGGTATGCGATAGACCACGGAGGATGATTTTGTAATTAGCACAGCAAAGGAATGTAAACTCTGTGATAAGGCTAATCTTTCTAACCACTGCGTTTCGAGTGAGGATGATATGGTATTTGTTCTTTGTTGGGCGTATAAGTCCAGAAGCATAAGTTAGTTTAAAATCAAAGATTTCAAACCAATCACCTTCGTTTAGATTAATACCGGATGACAATTTCACATCCCAAGCCAAAGTTGCTTCCATGGTTGTACCCTATTATAATAGATGAAACGATTTGTGAGATAAGAATGAAACAATAAATGAGAATATATTCCTTTCTAAATACAAAACATACTACTCACTTTTTGATCTCCAATAAAGAACCATGTAGTTTGACGAATTGAACCAAAGGGTCCCTTCCATGTTCTCACTATCTTTACAACAATTGTAGGCTGATTTTTACTTGGAACCAAGCCAGACAAACATGTGTAGGTCGACATCCTTAAGCAAAGGTACGCTTTTTTCTTTCTTTTTCTAATTCTATCCGAAAAACTATACAACTTCGCAGCACTAATATAGTACCAAAGATACCATATATTGGCATTATTTACTTGGACTGCAAAACCTTCCATACATTGATATATATTATTTGGAGAAATAATATAATGAATATGAATGTTCATGTGAATATAGAAACACAATATAATATTAATTATGCGTTGGTATATATAGAATACAGATATGTGATCCACCCTTAAAAGAACGTGTCATTATAGGAAAGTGTCACTCCAGCAACATGTGTCTTAAACTGTCAAAAAGAGAATAATGTGTCCTATAATGAAATGCATTCTTATAAAACATGTAAATTATATATGTTGATTATATTTTATAAAAAATTTCATCCCGCGCAAGGCATGGATCTCAGCCTAATTGTTTTATTATTTCAGCCACACATTCTTAAGACTCAGTGTTATCAAGACCCGAAATAGATTAAAAGGTAGAGTAAATGTTAAAGCAAAACTATTTTTAGCGCCAATCAAACTAATTTTAAGAATATTAGATGGTACAACATCTATATGTTTGATTACTGGATGAATCTTTTTCTCTTTCACAAGTGTGAGGCCTCACATGAGTCACAACAAATGAATCTTGGAGATTAAAATGTAAAGATGATTAATAACGATAAACTAACCGATCAAAACAGAATTGAACTTGAGTAAACAAAAAATAAATGTTTGATTTTAATTCCAATCACAAAATGAAATTAATCGAACTCAGAAATTAGACCGGTTATATTCATTAAGACTTAAACTGAACTGGTTTAGGCTCCACCGATCTCATCATCTTCCTCACTATCGTTGCTCTGCAATTTTTTTAATTTGTGTGCTGCTCCAAAAATTGTACAAGAAATGCACATATACTACAAAGACGACATCTGTTGAATTCAAGTACATGATCAAGTGGTTCATAGTGTTCAGAGAGGAGGAGAGGTTGCAAGGAAGATACATGTGCTACAAAGAGGACATTGGAGATGTGTGCATCTTCCTTTCAAACAAAACCATTTTTCTTTATAAACAACACTATGCGCTATCCTCTCCTTCATCCCTACAACTTTCTCAACATCTTTCTCTCTCTCTCAATGAAAAAAACCTACTCTGGAAAGTATCATCAGTGCCATGAAGGATGCAGTCAAATGTGGTTCAATCCCCAAGAACAAGACAAGAACAGTGGAAGCCCATGTTGCGACCGTTGGTGCCTTCAAGGAAAAACATCGTAAGCTCCCAGAGGGGACTATCACGGAGAGAGCATGGACTTATAATGACACTTCTGTGGACAAGAAGCCATCTGCTTCCTTTCATATTTGAAAAGGATAATTAGAGCTGTGAGGAAAACTGCAATGAAAATGTCATTCAGAAGCCAAAACAACATTGGTGAGACAGATCATGGGAGGAGGATATTCCTAAGGGTTTTCTCGACTGGGAGGAGAATAACAAGTGAAGAAAGAAGAGAAGAATCAAGAATAAGAAGGGGTAATGATCAGATGTTCTGTTTCTATGGCTTAATTAGTTTATGTTGGGTTTTAATGGTCGTGTTTCTAATGTTATTTTCTAGTAGTTTATAAGACAATACCTTGTAATATATTTTCAGAATCGCATTCAAATATTTATGTTGTTACACGTATTTTTTGTTGTTACACGTATTTTTTTGTTGTTACACGGATTCAAATTTGATAATGTTCATATGGAAACCATACGATATAACATATACGAAAAAGCATGGAGTGATAGAGACAACTCATTGCTCTGAATACGCATGCAAAAAGCTTGATGTAGGCTATTGGCATTTGGACTGACATTTCAAATTGAAGCTTTCCCTTTTGTTATACCCTAGGTTGCATGGAATCGGAAACGGAAACGTGGAAACGAAACGTTTCGAAACATGAAAACGTGTTTTTCAAAAAAAATTAGAAATGGAAAAATTTTAGAAACGTCTATATATATATATATATGTATGCATGATTAATCAACATGTAAATTTAATATATTTTTGTTTGATTTATCTAAAAAAGAAATTAAGTAATATAAGTATTTTTGATACATTTTATTAAAATTATGATCAATAACTAGAAAAGTAACACATGTTATCGTTCGATAAAACTATGGAGCGACTTCGTTCCAAATCAAATAATTATACTAAAATGATAACAAATATCAAAGATAATATCTTAAAAAGATCTTATATGTAAAGACACGTGATATGAAAACTTAGAAAATTTGTTTTATGAATTTGGTAATATTTTTTGTGAGAAGCTTTCTGGAAGCGATACGTCAGCATTGCATAATTCAAATCATTGTGAGATTGCCACGTGTCAAATTCAATGTGAACGCATTTAATGCAAAATGCTTCTCTTTTAATATATTAGGTACTAGGGTCGACCCGGGCTACGCCCGGGTTTTCTGTTTAAATTTAAATTTTAATTATATAATTAGTATGTTTATTTTAATATTTATATATTATAATATATTATAAAAATATAAGTATATAGGCAATTATAAACAAATTATTATTCCTTTTTCTTATACAAATCAAAATATTTAGCATTCAACTTTTTTTTGTTATTGAAATTTATATTTAAGATGGTGAGATAGAATGAATAAAAATTAATTTAAATTTAGTTATGATGTTTAATTGGTTGAATTGTAGACAGGTTTCATTTCGCTTAAAATTATTTATAATTTTGTTTTCAATTAATCTCTAGTATTCTAATGGACTTTCTCCCTTAAATCTACAACCCATTTTTTTTCTTAAATCATCTGTTTGAAAATTGTAATATTTTATAGATAAATAAAAGTTACAACTACATTACTAAAAGTTACAGAGATAGAATGAATAAAAATTAATTTAATTTTAGTTATGGTGTTTAATTGGTACTGTAGACAGGTTTCATTTTGCTTAAAATTATTTATAATTTTGTTTTCAGTTAGTCTCTAAGTATTCTAATGGACTTCCCTCCTTAAATCGACAACCCTATTTTTTTTCTTAAATCATCTGTTTGAAAATTGTAATATTTTATAGATAAATAAAATTTACAACTACATTACTAAAAGTTACAGACTAAATTATTACAATAAAATTGCTGTATTTGTAACCAAACCCAAGAAAAATTTACAGACTTACTCTTACCATTGGAGCTAATATTTCTTTAAAACAATTTCGGTATGATTAGACTATTATTATATTATATATTGGGATAAAATCATCATACGGACGGGTGCACAAATAAAAAAATAATATAAATATATATTTACATTTGGGTGTAATTATGAAAAAATATTTAATTTGTTCTTATATGATTTTGTTAGTGTGGTTAGAGTTTGCCTGGGATAATGTTTGAATTGTGTTACTGTTTAAGTATGGTGAAAGGGGAAGGTTAGTTTGGAAGGGGGGATTTTGGTACTGTTTAAGTATGGTGATACGTCCTGTAGTTTTGAATGGTGGAAGAGCGTTTAGGTGTTGACGTTAACGGGTAGTTTAAAAAAGGGTGTTTAGGTTACCGGAAGTTGGGGATGCACTTAGATAACGGGAATTTGTATATTACTGATATATGTAAGATTAGTGTTCGTTAGTTTTTTGTTTTTTTGTTTTATCATGTATCTTGTGGCCCAATTGATAATATTATGGTGATATTAATTGGGATTGCAAGAATCTATTAAGAAGGCCTTCAACTTAAGACGGTGAAAAACTACAAACCTAAAGTTTAAACGTGTAAGGTTGAATGCATAGTTTTTTTTCGTATAGGTTCTGCACCAAATCAATTACATAAAAATATTAACACGTAAACTGGGAGTTCTTGTTGTTTGTGGATATAGGCTCTGTTTTGAAATTTAGAAAATGAGAAGTCGTTTATGCTGTTGAAGAATATTAACAGTGATAGAATATAGACTATATAGTTCAACTTGCATGTAAAAGAGAAACTTCTGGTTCAAAAGTCTGTTGGATATTTGACAAAAGGCCCAACAAACTTCACAGAAGTCCAGTGTAACACGAAGTCCAGCGAAAACTTAAAGCCTTGAAGCACCGGTTAATGAAATGCAACATTTCATCTAAGCTGGACACGTGTCAACAGGAGATGAGCCGAATTGATGACGTGGCTTAGCAAGAGGGAGTGAACAATACTTTATATATATAGATTATAGATTTCAAATCTGCATATATGCATCCAGATGCAGCTTTTGGATAAAACCGAACGTTAGCCATTAATTTGTTTTGATAGTTAGCTTTACTATTAATAGTCATTAATTTTGTTGAATACAATAAGTCAAGTTAAACCAAAACAAACAATTTATCTATTGTAATTGATTTACATAATACATTAATATGATAAATAAGTAAACAAATTAATTTCATTAATTGACTGGTATCTTAAACTTATTACAACTTGATTACCGTTTGATTAAAGGTATACATATAACGATCAGATTTATAATTGTTTTTCTTTCCTACAGAAGCTTATTGCTTATATGTAAGCTGACGTATGTTGCTATATTCTGAGAAAAAGAATCTTTATTCACAGAATCTTGACAAAAACCTGATAATGTCTGATCAAACATATCCATTACCACAGGTGGCTTGTACTCTGATCTAGTTGGACGGTGAGAAGATCCCTGTAATGAAGAACCTTCTTGTCCCATCATTAATGGTCCGTAGCTATGGCTCGATCCTATAGACATCAAGCGATACGTCTGATGTTGAGGCTTGTGGTTTCTCTTGATAGCATGAATCAGATATGGAATCAACCCTTCCATTATATAATTCTCTCTTTCTGTATAAAGAAATATCTAACAAACACCCAATATTTATATCATGTAGCATAAGAAGAGAAATCAAATATTTCTTTGTATTGAATTGACTACTATAGGTTCAAATATGTTGGATAAGTATTGACCATGTGTTTATGGTATTATATATACCAAATCTTTTATTTAGGCTTTAGTCATGATTGATGATAGCATTACAGTATTGACTTCGACAACAAGAACTATGGGCTCTGCTTGTTTATTTTCAGAAAGAAATTGTTGAATCTCCCGCCAACGTAACGTTGAGATGATGAGTGATTTGTTGATCGCTGTTAGATCCAATAACAAGCTTGTGGTGTCCAGGGATTAGCTTCCTTTTACCGTCAGTATCCACAAGACTAAGTTCTTTGCAGATATCAAACTCAACGGTAACTTTCTCTGTCATGCTTCTCCCAACTTCTACTCTCTCAAACGCCACCAGTTGCTTCTGTGGCACGCCACCACCCACCAGATACTTTGAAGACTCCGGCGGCATCCAGAACACCAGCACCACGTGGCTCCCGGACCTTGACCCATGGTTCTTGACTCCAATGAAAATCCTAACCTTGAGATCTTGGCAATTAACAGTGGAGATATCGATAGGTGTTGTCTTGTTTAGTTTCAAGATTGGATTGGTTTTGATATGTATGGTTGATGGAGCTGAGAGAACAAAAGTAGAGAAAGAAGAGTAACTTAGTCCATGCCCAAATTTGTAAATAGGTTTCCCTGTGTAAAATCTGTAAGATCTTCCCGGGAAGCTTGAAGTGGAGTTAGGTCTCATGTTCATGTCAGTCATAGCAACCTTGTCCGCAAACTCTTGTGAGTACCATGTCTCTGGTAGTCTCCCAGCTGATGCAAACAACAACAAACACACATAAGTAACGTATGTAGGGTTTAATTAGGGTTTAGGAGTAAGAGCCTTACAAGGATTGTAGTCACCAAAGATGACTTGAGCTATAGCGTCTCCTCCAGCTTCACCAGGATAACCAACCCATAAAACCGCGCGAATCTTGCTAAGACTCTTGACAAATGAGATATCAATAGGTCCAGCAGCCATTATCACCAAAACAACAGTTTTCTTTGCAGCATTATTCACATCTTTCACCAGCTTTTCTTGAAAACCCGGAAGGGTTAAATTAACCCGGTCAAGACCCTCAGCTTCCACCGTCTGATCCAATCCAACCACCAAAACCGTCACATCAGCCTCTGATGCTGCCTTAACCGCCGCTGCGATCAGTGTTGGGTCACCACACTTGACATCTTTACACCCCGGCGCGTAATCAACACCTTTTGGTACATACTTTTGCATCCCTTGTAACGGGCTTGTGTACTTACAAGGCACACCTGCGTAGTTACTGATCATTACCTTCGTAGCATTAGCGTTTGGCCCTATGATAGCTAGCTTCTTGACCGCGGTTTTTGATAAGGGAAGATCTCCTCTGTTCTCAAGCAGTACAATTCCCTGCTTTGCTGCTTCTAACGCAAGCATTTGATGGTCGTTACTGCAAACATCAGACGGTCCAAGATGGCCAAATGGAAGTGATTTCGGATCGCCATCGAAGAATCCAAGCCTCATGAGGACAATGTAGTTGTAAATCAACGCTTCATCAACCTGTGATGAGTTCAGTTTCTTTTGATTCACTGCATTCTCTGTGTACTTACCTAGAAAATCTCCACAGTTCATGTTTAAACCTGTTTCAGAACAAGAAACAAACATTATACTTCTTAATGATGATACATAATATATAATGTTAGTCTAAGATTTTGGGGGATTGAAACAATTTAGGAAAAAAATTAAAATAATTTGGAGGTTTTTATATATTCATATATATATTAACAAGTGAAATACCAATGTTTCACTTGACTATGTTGTTAATATAACGATTTATTTCTGGGTCAATATAACAAATATAAGGATTATTTGTTAGCAACATGTAAAGAACTTTGCCTGCTTTGAGAGCGAGAGCAACGGCGTCTTCACGTGTCTTAGTGTAATGAATGGAATCGAAATAGACCTCGATGGAATCGCAATCTGAAACTATGTACCTGCCACCAAAAAAAGTTTTGAATAACTTGATCTTTGATCTCAAGCTGGTTCTTGTTAAAGAGTAAGAAACAAAGACTGACCCATCAAGATGCCATTGGCCTCGAATAACGCCACGTAAGAGATTAGGATCAGCACAAGTTGGGATGCCATTAACCCTATTGTAAGAACACATCACACTACTCACATCTCCTTCCTCTACACAGCTCTTGAACGGTGGCTGATACGTGTCTTCCAAGTCTTGTTTCGTCACCTTGGCGTCAAAGTGGAACCTATCGATGCCTTTCCAGTTATCAAGATCGTAAGCAGTGTAATGCTTACAGCAGCTCGACACTTTAAGCCGCCGTGATTTCCCTCCGGCGTCGTGAACGTCTTGTAAACCTTTCACGTAGTTCACGGCGTATTTGGACACAACGAGAGGATCCTCTCCTGGAGTCTCTTGGCCACGACCCCATCTTGGATCTCTGAAGATGTTAATGTTGGGGCTCCAATACGTTAGACCAGCGAGTCCAACGTTGTGCATGGCTCGAGCCTCCGTTGAAACCGCTTCTCCCATTTTTAGCCATAAGGATGTGTTAAAGCTCGCAGCAGTTAGTATCACGGCCGGGAAACTCGTGGCTCCAGGCACCGTCCCGTTGAAACGCACCTTAGAAGATAAATAACTCGAAACATAAGCGTTTCAATACAAAACAAGTCATGAACTGTAAGGGCAATCAAAAGGAGTACAAGTGAGCGGTCGAAATGACCCTAAATTTTTAAGAGAACTAAAACTTTTCAAATAGAAGTATCAATTAGACTTTAAAATTTAAAAATTTAATTATATTTTTTAGATTTAAGGCTTATAATTTCAAAAATTAAACATCTATAAATTGAGCTATTAAGTTTTTTTATTTGCAGTTTAAAAATAAATTGAAATATGGAACTTTGAACTGTATATAGTAAGACTTTACCCCCGGTCCAACGTTGGAGACGCCGTGAAGAGCTTCCGACCACCACTCGTACGGAGGAACACCGAGCCTTGGAACTCCGGTGGCTTTGTTGACGAGTTGCTGGACTTTTTCCTTGAGAGAGAGACGTGAGACCAAATCTTTAGCACGTGCTTCGTACGATAAGGAGGCCTTGCAGAAACCGTACTTAGCTGTGGCCGGATCATTTCTGTCACAAGCGAAATTCTTCTGGGACTCGCATAGTGATGAGACTAGAGATGCTATTAGCAGAGAGACGCTCACAAATCTTCTTACACTCATCTTTCTTTTGTTTTATTCTCTTATGGAAGAGAAGACAGTGCATGGGGATGTTTTTATAGGCGGGAATAGAAGTTAAATTATATTTTAAATATTTACTTGTAGACTTAATGATTACATTAGATGAGATGAGAGTTGGTGAATATTTTAGAAGAGAAGTTAAATCTCCATGTGCTGAAGTTTTTAAGGACCATCTCTTTTTCTTTTCTTACTTGCATATAAGAGTGAGCCAAGTGTTTACCACTGAATAATGATAACAAAATGTGAAGTTTAAGAAAAGGGTTTTGAAGAGTGACTTCGAAGATAATACAAACCATATATCTTTTGTCTCTTCGGATGTCTGTTTCGTGTGGATGGTCCTTAAGTTAGAGATGCAGATCTTTATTGTCTCTAAGTGGTTCCACAGTTCCGGGAGGTCTCTCTTGTTGTGCAATTGGTTCATCACTAGCGGACTGCTAGGACCAACTAATATCCTGAACCATTTTCGTTGCGAATCCTGGTTCTGATTCGTAGGTTTCCCTCAGAATTTTCTGGAAAATTTTGAGACGGTTTGCTTGGTGCTGGTCTTGTACATTTGTATAGACAAAGACTAATTAATCTTCGTACAACCATAAAGACAAAGACAATACTCATATCTTATTTGTATACACATTCAGATTGTACATCTATGATCTATTCATGGTCAGTGGACCTCTCTCATCGTAAGCCCTACTTCACAACAAGAAAACTTGCTTACTGTTCGAACAATTACTGAGTGATTTTTCTTCGGGATTCGGTCTAACTCATGCGATACATAATACATGAATTGATATTCTCAATAGATCACATATGCAGGTTTTTAACATAATTAGTCAAATCAATTTTGGGAAAAAAAAAATTGGAAAAAATGTTGAACAAATCCCCAATTTTCGGAATTGGACCATTATAATCTCCAACTTTCAAAATCATCTGAAAAATCACAATTTTTTTGTTGACTTTCTAAGAAATCGCTAACTTTTCGTTGACTGGATCAATTTAGATCCGACGTATTACACTAACTGAATGTATTAACTATGTTAATTTGGTTCGTTAACTAAAACGACGTCGTTTCTCTTATACTAATAAAAAACCCTAAAACTATTTTCTCCCAAATATATTTGGCGATGCTCTCGACGACGAACCCTATATCGCGACCCACCACCAAAATCTTCCAAACCCACTCGATCTCTTTGTTTCTTCCACATCAAACTAAGATCAGGTCTCAATCAGATCGTATCAAGAGGAGATGGAGAATAAAAAGAACAAAAAATGTCAAAAAGGAAAACTCGGCGGTGCATACTCTGTAGCTTCTATATCAGCAGTAGGTCTGGGCATTTTAACCTAGACCCAAAAACCCGAACCGGAACCGACCCAAAATCGCAGGTTCGATTACATGTTCGGTTATATAAAGATTAACTTGTTAGATATTTTTTTTGTAGACCCGTAGGTACATGTTCGGATCCGGATAAGACCCGCTACCCGTCGGGTATTTGTTTAACCTGCCAAAAAACAACAACACGCGTGTGACTTCATGTCTTCAACTTCAATTCAAGACTCAAGTTACGACATCTCCTCGACTCCTCCAGACCTCGGTATCTCCTTCTGTCATTTCCACTCCCCCAAACAGCCTTCAATCTCATTAACAAAACCGAAATTACTCATTT